TTATGACTCACTCTGTGAGCATTCTGCATGTGATTCTGAAGTTCTTGAATCTTTAAAATCAGTAATAACACCTTTTTAATTTGGCTTGAATTTGTAGAACACGTGTATTAATAATTCTCAATGGTCATGAGAGAACATAGTGTTACAGGTCCAGGACTAAGTCCTCTGAGTCATCTGGCTTCCCAGTTTGTCTGATTTAGGCTTCCCAGTTTGTCTGTCAGGGGAAAACTCCTGGATTTGGATCAGCCTTCACAGTTCAGATAGATAGTCAGGCTTTTGTTCAGAACTGGTGTTAGGCTTTTTTCGGTGATGACCAGTGATAGGACAAGGGGTAATGGGTGCAAATTGGAGCATAGGAGGTTCAAGGTGAATATCTGAAAAAATTTTTTTACTGTAAGAGTGACAGAGCCCTGGAACAGGCTGCCCAGGGAGGTTGTGGAGTCTCCCTCACTGGAGACATTCAAACCCACCTGGATGTGTTCCTGTGTGATGTACTCTAGGTGACCCTGCTCTGGCAGGGGGGTTGGACTAGATTATCTTTCGAGGTCCCTTCCAACCCCTAAGATTCTATGATTCTATGATTCTGTGAACTGGATGAAGCCACCAGAAGTGGCCTCAGAAGAAAAGTGGCCACCAGAAGAAAAAGCATCATGTTACTGTGAAATACATATTGTCCAATAACAAATCAGGAGTTTCAAACATATAAAGCTTGGGGCTATAACCTACCTCCCTATAACCTCTGCCTCACCAGTGAATTTTGTAATACTCTCATTTACACATCTCTTTCCTCAACAATTTATTCTTGCTTCAGCTAAGGTTTAAGAGATTATTTGGCAGCACTAAAAGCTACAGGCAGTTCAGGGCTATAACTGGTTAGCTAGTCTGGGATACAGATACTCTGATAGAATCCTTTTATCATGGCACCTTATTAATTAGGGACTGAATTCCCTTTAATTTCAAAAAAAGAGTTACTTCACCTAAGAGACATCAGCAATAAATAACCAGTGATTATTACTCCAACTGAGATATTCTGGTTACTTTTCTTGGCTAACAGAATTCACTGTTTGTAAATCTTTGATGCAATTTACTCACTAAATTATGTAATTCATAGAATCCCAGAGAAAAAAAAATAGGGTGGAAACAATCTCTGGAAGTCATCTAGCCTTATGTTGTTGCTGGCTGTGAATGATGGTTCTTTGATAAGTTCTACTGAATTTGACTGTAAGTGCATTTGTCACCTCTTGTAAATGCAAATGAAAATCTGTTAAACTAACATGATGGTGATTTAAGACTATTTGCCTTGTTTTACAAATGGGATAAGAGTGGAGCATGCAGAAGGTCAGATGACATGGGTCAGCTGCCAAGAAGTGTGTCAGCTGAGTGCAGTTGCTCAGGCACCTAGGGAGTCTGAAGATCAGTTCTCAGGCTACACAAGCAACTGCATACTGCTAATAATTCATAGCTGTTAAAGGTTAAACGACTAGGATTATGGGCCTTTATACTTAACTAATTGAATTTGGTTAATTAATAATTTCAACACCTTGGGAGAAATATAAAATCTATAGTGCTGGTTGACACTGGAAAAGGCTTACATGCCCTCTACTCCACATTAAATGGGGTATATTTTGGTCACAATTGCTTTTAATGATTATATACAGGTTTTTTGAGAACTGCCTTTTTCAGACTGAAACTTCAGTGAATTTTCTATGCTTACACACAACTGAGAATAGATGAAATATTAAAAAAAAATTACAATATTTTTAAAAACTGTGCTTCTCTGAGCACAACATGAAGTGAGATTCAGAAACGTGCAAGTCTATTTTACATTCAAAGCATACACACTGGAGTCACAAAACCAGATTGTTTTGCCCATAACTAGAAGGCTGAAGAGTAAAATCTCATTAAAATTGGTATATGGAAGGAGGTTTACAATCCATGCATATCCATGAAGAGGTTAGTTTAAATGTCTGAGAAATAGATGGCTTTTCAAATATCTGGCTGACAGTCTTGGCCGCAGAAATACAGACTAAGATGAACACAAAACCTGATATTCAGAAATAAATCTTTCTGGAAAATGGTGTTATGAAGAAATCAATCCACATTCTAGAAAGACTGCTTTTAAAAATCTGCTCTGATCTTCCCATGACTTGGCAACACATGTTTATCCCTGGCATTCCGGTGGATTTGGATCTAAAGTATGTGTTCTCACATGGCACCTCTGAAAAATCTGATTTACATGAAGTGATGCTTGCATAAGGTGTTTAAAAGATTTGTCAATAGGAGGAGTATTACTGCTGAAGGAATATTCAAAAGGCTTAGACTTTCATGGATATATTCTGTATATATGCTCATAAAATTGAAGCACATCTTTCCAGTGTTTATTTGCACTAGTAACTAGTTGGTATTATTTTCTACTTTGGTTTGATTATGTCTCTATAATTATATGCTATATCCATTGT